CACGGCGTCACGGAAGGCATTCTCCGACACGGCCTTGAGAGCGGAGGTGCATGCTGCTTGAATACCCTCTGTCGTCTCAAAATGCTTGCCTTTCATCAGCCTTTGCAGACAAGGAAACAAAAAAAGTACGGGGGGACACCGCTGGACTGAAGGGCGGCTGCGGAAGTGTTGGGATGCCGGCCTAAGTTAGGTAGCTGTTCACAAAAAAGGCGGTGTGAGCCGGAGCGTTGTCGTGGCGCAACTATGTGTTTGAGTCTCTTGAGTACTTTAACTGTTTTAACTTTGGATTTGCTCATTCTTCCGGTCTTCAACASAGACCTCTTCCCGAACCCTCCAAAAAAGCCTGGTGCCACCGAAACTCACCACTTCTTGCCAAAGTAACATCTGCGTGAACTTACTTGATCATATCAAACGTAAACAGAATTTAATCATGTACGTCTGCACTGACGAACGCTGCATATTCGGCTTGCACCACTCACAGAAACAARTCGCGCGAAAATGTTTGTCCTGACTCTGCAGGTGCCCAGAGACAACTGAACAGCCGTTCGTTCGTTRGCTATGAATGCCCTCTACTGAATCCGGGTTCTGCGCGCAGGCTCCGAAGTGCAGTCGCGGCGGAAAAAAATCAGCCAWATTACTTTCAGGATAAACCCTGTAGCCTCTGAAGACGAATGAGATAGATACCGAGAGTTGAAGAGGGCAACGAGACGCATTTGCAGACAAATAAAGAGAGAAGCCGAAATGCGTGAGTTTCTTCAGCTGCTGAATGGCAGTGAAAACGTAACACCAGAATATGGTGAACTCGACTCGCCAATCGATGACGTTGGAACAAACGTTTAATTGCTTGACCCGTCCGAAAACCAACAAGGCGACGGGAGCCGATGGATTGCCAGCCGAGCTATACAACCACGGCGGCGAAGATCTGATAAGGATAATACATCAGTTTCTTTGTAGAATATGATGAGGTTCTAYCGAGCGTATTGCGTGAAAGACTAAAGACCACCGTCAACAAACCGATTGGAACATACCCGAGAAAAGAGGATAAGCACACACCACTCCTTTGTTGACTTTAAAGCTGCTTTTGACAGCGCGAATAGGAGTAGCCTTTATGCCGCGATTTCAAAACTTGCAAAACTAACTAGGGTTTCAAGTCATTGTTAACAGTCATAACTTCGAAGTCGTAGATAATTTCGTCTATCTTGGAACYAGTATAAACACAAACAACTATATCAGCCTCGAAATCCAACTTTTGTCTTCGGACTGAGTAGGCAATTGAGAAGTAAAGTCCTTTTTCGACAAACAAAGGCCGAACTCTATAAGTCACTCATTATTCCTGTCCTGCTGTATGGTGCAGAGGCATTGACGGCGACAACATAGTTCGAAATCCAAAAATATAATTAACTATAATCTTTATAAAAAGAAGTGTGGTTACAATTTGAAAATTCTAAGAAATTATAGTCAAATTTTTCTTTTATTAATATGTGCGGATCGGGGAGTTTATTGAATACCCACAAACTTTTTTTTATTTCTTGCAAATTGAATAAAAAGAAATTTTTGTATTCCTCGCTCACTTCTCATTTTCCTTGCTTTTGCGCTCTGTCCGCAAGAGCGTTTTTTATTTACCGCTGTGGACTCAAATACATCATGATATATCATAGTTAGAAGTATTATATATTTCACAGCACCAATTTGTCCAACTATTCAAATATGATGCACTCGAGCTCGAGTAACTTGCAGCAAGAGAGTGATTCACTCGTAATTGAGGGCAGCAAAACTTTTTCATAACTGCCACACACACACACACACACATCTACAGATGCAAACACACAAAACCAAAAGAACTTTCACTCTTGCGACTGCAGCCGAGCTACCCTTCTTGTCTGCCTGCTACTTCCTTTACTTATATGACTTTAGTGGCCAAATTTGCCGAGCGTTTTTTCCAACACAACTTTTTCCATTTGGCGCTGCGACGCAATCGCCACTGTGTTGTGGTCTGAGGTTAGCCGACGTTCTTTCCAATCAAATTTCAATTAGAACTGAATGCAAGGGGTTGCGTTGAATATAAGTTTTTATGCGAGCAAGGCGGTGTATGTGTGAATGCGTGCGTAGCAAAGAGCGTTAGTGTACGAATCTAAAGTCGAGAAGGTCCCAAATACACACTTACACCCATTCACTTACAATGGATCTCGCGCACATACAAGTGCTATGTATACAATAAATTATTCAGTCTTCCCCTCCGCATTGCCAGTATTATGTTGCATGCAATGTCTGCAGCGCAGCGTTGAATGTGAATGCCAAGTTGCTGAGGGACCTCCGTGCCATCTGCAAAGTGCTAGTGAACTCAGTTATGAACTCGGAAACTTTATTTTYGCCCTGTGCACAAGTTCGGGTGCGAATGTGGGTGCAGCGCYCGAAAGCGTCGAARAAAGAAAAGTATGCAGATAGTAGAGTATTGAACACTGCCGCCGTGGCAGCCACAAGCACGGAGTGGGCCTGCTGGCGCCTTGCATTGTAACTCGGTTGGTATGTGTGTGTGTATACATGTGCTCTCGCACAGCTGTTGGCACTATCCCGGCTATTAATTATGTAGAATTCATTATCGATGATAATAATTGATTTGTAGTAGTTGTTGAGTAGTGCAGCGACTTGTTGCCACATGAATGGCGGTGCGAAGTGCGTGTAGTGCTGCAGCAGCGAGCGGGTTTGAAGTGTGGCAGCAGTGCCGCTGGGTGGGCTAATTAACTGCGGCTTGTTGACATCGAATGGCGATAGATTTAATTAAGTCGGCGGCGCCACTRGCAAAACAAAGCAAACTAATTGAACTTACTATAGTTTGTTTGCCATCACTGTTGTCTGCCAGACAGTCGTGCAAAAGTTTGAATGTGATAAGTTTTGTTAATATGCAAAACTATTAAGTGTCGAACTTCGTGATATTAATAGTGTTTGAAATAAAACATTTTGAGACTGTGACATTTTTAGAGTTTGAACTCTACATGGACCGTCTTGCAGAAACAAGAGTAGACTAAAGTAAAAAGGCTGCATCAGATATGCTAAACATGAGATTCACTATCACTGCATACTTTTGAGCGCCATTCTTAAACCAAGTGTCCTCCGGATAGCCAAAAAACATCCATTTGAAAGCGAGCTAAGGTGAGAAGGCGTAGGCACCACACCAGGGTTGGCGCTGGGTTTGAGACCCACTACGTAAAAATCACTGCCACTGAAAAGRAAATAACAGTCTCAGACAAGAGACTTCCTGCAGCTCTGTTTATCTAAGGCCGAACATAAGCAGAGAAAGTATTCTAGAGTATCTCTCATACCTACTTTCCTGCACATCCTAATGTTAGTAAGTTGTGACCTCTGACTAGACTGACAACCGTCCGACAATCTTTCCGAGATCGTGTTGGTTGAAAGCTTGCGTGTTTTCCTTCTGCTCCTTTGCACATGATCTTGGTAATCCTGCATGCCCTAAGATATTCTAACCTTCTGTCAGACCTTTCGGAAATTTCGATTTTACCGACTATCGTATTTCCTCAACTGGGTCGGTATTCACGCGGTTGACATTTTTGGCAATGTCATCAGTTATTTCATTAGAGCGCCTTTATGGCCTGGAACCCAATATAAATGCAGCCGATTTTCGGCAGCCACCCGATCTAACGCCTCCCTGCTTCTATGAACATTCTCTGAGGCAATGCTATCTTGCTATTTCCGGAGTTGWTAGGTGCCTCAGCAGCYTTCCTGACCGCAATGATTTCCGACAGGATGATATTGCAAAATGTTGTCAGTTTAAAAGGTCACCTGAGATCTAGGTCCGCGCAGTCGAACTCGGTGTCCACTCCATTAGTCATTCTTCTTGAAAACTCTGAGTGGAGACGCAGCGACATTCATATTATATTAAGAAGGAAAGACGGCGACAAAATAGTGGTAGAGAAAAGAAAATTCGACAACACCGTTTGTGTGGTTCCATCCAAAATTTTCCTACCCGTATTGAAGAATTGACTAAAAGTTAATTTTTTGAAGCACTCTTAAGTGTAAGAAGAAGTCTACTTCTTAAGAAGATATTCAGTAAGAAATGCGATGTGTTTGGAGCCGTCACAGCACATCCACTGACCTTTTATTCATGAGCAATTCAGTGCTCAAATCAGCGAGTACGCCTATTATTCTACCCATAATTGAAGTGAGCTCTATACACTTTACTCTCTTAACTGACTTTTTAAGCTAATGCTTAGCACCCTAACAATTCAGATGATCTGTAGGTATCGTAGAACTTAATGCAAATCCTATTTGAAAGTAATATAGTCTGTATATGTATGTGATTACTATTGCACTATCTGCAGCATATATACATTTTCTTCAATTTGAGAACAAGGCAATGTTCTTGTCAACATTCCAATTTCATTATTTTTAAGTTCAACTTAAGACTGTAATTGAAATTGAAATCGCTTACTTCACCGCTTTCTTCTTAATAAATGTGATCGATTTTCATTCAATTACCTGTTCTCCATTTTGCATTTATTGTCTCGCACCTTACAATGTGCCTTGAAGTCCTCGAAAAGCTTGAGGCATTTCCGCTCCTGCTGACACACAGACAGTGCGTGATTGCACGTCGGCAATGCATCTATGGGATATGGGTCCTTTTCGGCTGCAATTGACAAGCAAATAAATTATAAATTATTAAACTATACAAAATAATATATATTATGTATTTATATACATTTACATTACATAGTATACAGTAACAAATATTTACAGGCATCTTTCGCCAGAACTGCTTGACTTTCTCTTCAAAGTGAATTTAAGAGTTAAACACACAACTTTTTGGCTATAAGGAAATCTTTTACACATCAACTCAACTCACACATATAAACATACATAGACGTGTATAAGCTAGTTGGCCCTTGGCAATTTAATTTTCTTTAAAACAGTATATATACACACACACACACACACACACACGTACTCTTAACTATGAATTTGTTACTGAAGAAGATTGGCATTTTATAGTGAGACATACATATGTGTAAGTGGCGTCTGTTTCCGCACACTTACGACGAAGCTGGAGAGCCATTAGGCGGAAATTACTTTGAGGCACTTGAGCTTTCTTGCCACACATATCCTTCTACAACCACAGACACAGCCCTGCTTGAGCATATACATACTATATATATTGTTGTAGTTGGATTTATATGGAAAACGTAAAATTGCGTAAGGCTGGCAGAGACCAAAATCGAATTGTGCAGAAAAATCTTATCTTCGTATACTGGTACTAACATTCTGGTGTGAGCATTCGGAATATTGTCGTAGTAGGAATACTTTTGAAGTGAGTCAAGACTCTTACAAGCGTTAGCCACACTTTAAGAATTTCAAAACTTGACTAACCAAACCTAGGTGTCCATATATAATATATTATTTTATAGCAGTAATCCGCAGTGTTGTGAAAGTAGGAGTTTTACAGGGAAAATCCAGTTTTCGCAACACTAAGTGTTGCCAGATGCAATCTGACATTTCCATTGGAAAGTTTGACATTTTTTAGCATAACATCACTCAGAACGTTTTGTCATTTAATCGTGAATTGTGTTAATTACAGGGAATTAAAAAACTCATCTCGGCCAAAAAATGGAATTAACTCGTGAACATTTTCGTGCGATCATTTTTCACAACTTTCGGCGTGGATTATCACGACAAGAATGCATCGATGAACTAAAATCTTCGTATGGCTATGAAGCACCATCCTATAGCACTGAATTCCATCGTGGTCGACGCTCGCTAAAGACGAATTCCGTGAAGGTCGTCCAAAAACAGCCGTTGGGACAGAAAACATCGATGCCGCACCCAACTGATAATGCAAGACCGTCATGTAACATACCTTCAGATAGAGGCATGCCTATGCATTTCTCCCACCAGCATACATTCGATATTGCATGAACACCTGGACGTAAAAGAGGTTTGTTTGATATTTGACAATCGCTCATAAAAATGCTCGTATGGATTGGTGTAAAGAAATGCTGAAAAAATACGATCGCGGTGCTTCAAAAGACGTTTATAAGATCGTCATTATTACTTCCATAGTATTAGATACTTCCATAGTTATTCTTCATTATTTTCAAATGCGGAAAACCTCTGTCGACAGTTAATGCAATGAAGGAATTTATGGTGAACATGCTCTAGCTGAGCTAAAAGTGGTAATTTTGCCAAAAAAATGTCTGAAAATGTCAAGTGCGCCCAAAAAGTTTGCATATGRGACAGGAAAGTCAAGTCAAGGGAATCACTTATACAGTCATTTCAATACGTTTTATAAGCAAGGAAATTGAATAGCATATGAATGGAGGCCAAGAGACGTGAAAACGATTTTGCATGTCAGAAGAGAAGTCGTTTCTGCATCGGATTGTGACTGGTGATGAAAAATGTATTCTTCACGACTACCCTAACTGCGTAAAAAAGCTCTGGCTTGCTATCTTACGAGCTTCTAAAACCGGACTTAACCATAAATGGGAAACGCTACCGACAACAACTCATCAAAYTGARGCAAGCATTTTTCCAGAATRAATAAGAAAGMAAAACAAATGGGTTTGGTATTSRACGAGGGTAAGACAAAACATCTCCTGTCATCAAACAAACAGTCGTTGCATTCGTGACTAGGCACCCGCGTCATTGTTGACAGTCATAACTTCGAGGTCGTAGATAATTTTGTCCATCTTGGAAGCAGCATTAACACCAACCGCAGCTTTCAAATCCAATGCAAAATAACTCTTGCCAACAGGTGCTGTGCGTGAGTAGACAATTGAGAAATAATGAACTGAGAGAACGACAGTCGCACTGTTATAAACTCGGTTATAACCACGTAAGCAGGGTTTATGCCAATAAATAAGAAGAAGTAGAAGATAATAAACTGACAATCTGTATGTATAATACATTTATGATTGATTTTTTTTAAATAACATTAGAATGACATTCAGAGTTGTACAGAACTAGTAATACAATAAGAATATAGAAATGATATAATAAGAGTGCAACTCTTCATACTGCCTCGATGTTTTTATAAAAATATTCCAAAAAAGTGCATTTTTTGTCTGCGACTATATGTGTGTCTGCTTTTATGAATTTTACACAAGTTGCATATATGCAACTACGCTCCCATGCTGCTTCAACAAACATATGTAAAAAACATTTTCTGTTCAAACACACACATACAGCAAGTAGGCGTCACACAACTGTACGCTGCACTACAATACTTTTGTCTACCTCCACATTGCTGCTATCAAGCTTTCGTTTCACTTGCGGCACTTACAACATTGGTGGCAGCCACAATACGCAGTCTTTGTATGAAATGTGGCAGTTGCCACCGCAACCTACCGCCACTAACCCACCATAGATGGCTAGTAAGCATCTGCCTGTAACATCGTTACGAATTGGTGCTGATATGCCATGGAATATATGAAAACTAGTCGTGTGGCGGTACTTGAGTGCCACATTACTTTGCTGACTTTGCTGCAATCGGATGAGACGCTATAAATGAACGTATTGTCACGTTGCAGATGCAAGCGGCAAGCACCAARGCACACACACGCAAATATCTGCAAATGTGTAGTTGCAACGAAAGTGATTTGCTTGCACTACATGCGCAACAACCTTTGTTTTAGCGCTTGCACTCACACCTCGGCAAGCGCCGGTAAGTATGCAACAGAAACAGAGCACTTCAGGCTAATAAAAAATACGGATAAGTTACTTAAGGTGCACTTTACTCAATTTCCTTGTCTTCTTCAGCGCTCATTTATCGTATGTGCCAGTGTGTGTGTGTGTGTGTGTTGTGTGCTTCTGTCTGTCTGTCTGTCTGTAGTGCGTATAAAGCGACGCTGGCAATCTGCCTCATTCACTGATTCGCTTATGCGCCGAGTTGGCCGCAGAGCGTCTCGCCGCAAAGTGGCGACGGCGAATGCTCATGAGTTTCCACTTTATAAATTACAATTTGTTGCTGCGTAATTCACCGCATGATTGAAGTGCGCTGCTTCACTTTGTAATAACAATAAATCTTCCCAACTTTCGCAGCTACGAGATACGAGTGTACAAATGTCGTCTTAAGCCGCAGTGTTGTTGCTGTACTGCCGCATTTACTGCCCCGCTGCCTGCATTCATTCATTCACTGCCTTTGTGGTAGTTGTTTTTATTGTTGTACTTTGCTGTTAGGAGCTGGCAACATAGAGTTTCTAGGGAAATTTATTATGTTTTGCTCGGCTGCTCGGCTGCTTGGCTGCTTTAGTACGTCGAGACTCAGCGTGCGTCTAAGCGATGTGATTGCGCCGCCAAAAGCGAGTTTTTTATGTGAGTGTGTGTGTAACTTTAAGCGTGCGCATTTGTAGAAATGTAATGAGGCGTCGAATTAATTGCGTATAAGTATCTAAGCTAATCGGGTATTTAATAAAAGGAGAGTAAAGTTTTCTTAGAAAGGACGCAAGGCAGATTTTAGAGATGTGATTGTGCTTTACTAGGCCCACGTATATACTAGATATGTATTTGCTGGTAGTGAGTACTCTTCTTGATATTTTAGACCCTGTTGCGATAGATTTCAATACTCTATTTATCCAGCTCAAATTGACTTTGTGACGCAGTGAAAGACCACTGAAAAAATTATGGCCATCTTAGTCATATCGATAATTAAATAGCCTCGCTGTTGATTGTACTTGCATTAAATAAAAAAATATTTGAATTTCCTTAACTATTAGGGTTGTCTATGGAAAAGAAATTACATCACTCCCATTGGAACACCCTGTATAATCCTATATCTAACCATTAGGTGAACAAATAATAATATATTCTGTATAACAATGTTTGTAAAAAGTTAGACTCACCTTTCTTGAGCACGAAACCACATGGATGATCGAAGAGAAAATCACGAAAATGATTACAATCCGGATCCATGCCGGGTTCTTTGCAAAGGCAGGTTGGACGAAAGAACTGAAAGGCTTGCAGTGTCCTTAAGGCGGCTTGGCATTTCGTCACAGTAACTGTACTGCATGACACTGCAAATGAAAATAGATATAAATAAGTAGTAAAAATATGCTTATATAATTTTGTATTCATTTCTAAAATAAGTATATTGTAAGTATTAGAATAATTTATATTTAATTACTAAGTATTATTAAGTCTTTTTTTTCATCATTCAAGTAAAGCTAAAAGAAAATAATTATAATTTAGAGCTGCATATTGAAATGTCAAAATGAAGCCTTCAGTTGAAATAGAAATTATAATTTAAAGCAAGTACAATGAGAAAACGAACAAATTTAATAATAGAAGAATTTTTTTTTATTTCTTAATTTAAAAATATACGCCAAAAAGTATGCCAACTTCWAAAATAACTCACCAAATGTTGCCTACATTTCAGCGTGTAAGTGAAAAATTTTTTTTCGAATGCCGAGATAAAAATCTTGTGTATAGAACTAATCAAAAGAATACATCTTATAATAGTTAAAATAATTTCTATAAAATTTCTATGTATGTGGAAAACTAAGTTTTTGAATATTGTTTAATTTTATAACTCTTTCTGTTCTTATTTAGAATGAAATGGTATATTTTGGAAATTTTATAGTGMTATCTAACAATAATATCTGTAATAAAAGTATTAAAGGGCAATAAAAATTCGAAATTTTTTATATGAACCATGTGCCCTAAGCAATTTCTTTTACAAAAGTGTTCATAATATTACACATATGACAAAAGTTACACTCATCTCAGGTCACAAGTACCACAAATTATGAAATATTATGACAAACAGATGGTACACTTTCGTTTGTATACAAGTATGTTAGCGTGTGTATGTTTGCAAATACTAATACAAAGCACAAAAGGAAACATCCACAGAAATTGCCCTTGAGTGTCACTGCTAAGCTGCTACAATAAACCTTTATTTATGCTTATTCGATTGTGATAATACTCTCAACTCATAATCCTAAATATATAAGAACATATGTAAGTACGAACAWATAATTCATATGAATATCCTATAATAGTCACATAATAACTGTAAATAAAGAAAATAATAACAGACGTATAAATATTTATGCTTCTTGTTCTTARCATATGGATGAGGGACATTTGAGACTATGTAAAGGTATTATAGTTGTTTGAGTGCGGGCTGAAAAAATATTGCTCACAGACTRCATATATCCTACTGTAACTGTAATAACTGTAAAAATATAATTTTGTCCTAACTTGCTTGATATTTAATAAAATTGATTGGAAGGTAAAKACTCCTGCTGGGAAATGACAGGATGACATATAGTGTTTGCTTTTATTTTTACTTCAACAACAATTGAAAATTTTCCAAGATCTGTGATATATTATAGGCATTTTTCTGTTGCTTGTCTCTGTCATGTTCTTTACGTTTGACAAACAAAACAGGAAAAACGTTATTTCGTAGCTTTAACATTTCTTTATATTTTTTATTTTATTTTATTTATGTATTTTTTTTTGAGCACAAATGTAGATTTTTTTTATTGTATTTTGAAACAAAAAGTATATTTTTATGTATGTGGTCTCCACTACTCGAATGAGGCGAGTAAAGTAAAATGGCCGATTAAGTGACTACGTCACAACAATGATGGTTGAATGCCACCATTTCACATGTGCCTTTTTGGGTGGCCATAAATGTCAATAACAGACTTTTAAAAATCCGCTAGTTCATTACGAACGTCACTGGCTAATTCGAGTTCATGCTATTTTAGGCTTCAGTGTATTTCGCTGCAAATATAACAAATTCTAGGCCGATTGTTTTTGCCCTTGATCTGCTTTATGGATGAACCTTGCACTTATGGAAATTTTTTGTCAAAGAAATGCATATGAACACATACCATATATATGTATGTATATACTATTTGTAATCGATCGAAGAGTGCTTTTATAAATAGATACAGAAAAATAAATCTATCCTGATAATATTTGCTTTTCTAAAACCTGTTTAGGAGTGTTTACTTCCACTTGTAAAAAATAAATTAATTAATAACCTGTGAGAGATCTTTTTCATAGGCAGTACTCGTCAGCAATATTAATCAAGGAAACCATCCATCTCCGGGTTTTAAAAAATCAAATACTTTTCTATCCTGAAGATCTATATACTTCTGCCTGCGTTTTAGCAGAGTTTGGAAACTCCTTTGCCACGATTTATCACCTGTCACGATGTCATAGACGTGTTTCGAAGCACCGCTATCGACCTCAGTTGTTCAGTGCTTCAACTAAAACCCACACAATCAACCAGACACTTAAGGTTATCGAACAGTTCATTCTTCCTCCAGGGTTGAAGAGGTGAACTATGAACTACCTGAGTGGTCAGCACTCATCCGTAAGAGTTAAAAGATAAATATTCTAAAATGAGAAGACTTAAATATTGTGATGTCCTCTTTCCGTTTCTGCTTAATTTTTACATTTCGAAACTCCCTCAACAACCAGAGGGAATTTATATGACCTCGTACGTTGATGATTGCACGATAATGACTTTAGGCAATGGAATCGAAAGTAAACGGCTATCTCTCCGGCCTTTCTCGCTTATGTATAAATGRCAACCTTCGTATAAATGATCGGCATTGCGAACAGAGTTTATTTAACTATGCCAAGGAAACTGGTTCTTGTCGAAACCGTCGATATCAGCTCAGACCAGARTAACTCGCCACGAACTAAAACGAATATAGTTCTAGTTATCCTTTTGGAATACCAAACAAATATTCTTGAAAACTTAAAAGTTAACAAATGTTTGTGCTTCCATTAATGGGATAACAAAGACAGACTACCGGGTCAAAAAAATTTTTTTTTTGTTTTTCATTTCACTTTATTTATATTTTTTCTACAACTATGCGAGGCACGATACCACTTAAGTTGCCACTTTGGTTGCATTSCAAAACAGAGAAAGCGCCTTTGTACAAATTGTTATTGTTGCAAATTGTGCTTTGTTTGCATTTGCAATTTATTTAATTGCATTACGGTTTGGGAAGCCAAGCAGAGGCAATTAATTCACTTTCGTAAAAGGCAACACATTCACTAAAGAAATCTCCCCCTCTACACTCACACATACACACATATATTTGTTCTGTACAATATTGCCTGGCAAAACAAAAATGCCTCGTTTACTTGGAGCCTTCAKTGGCATGCACACTCGCGCATTCGATCCAGAAGCTTATAGGCGAAATTTACTTAAAATTCTCAACGTATTTTCCAACTCGAATCCCATTGACTTATTTGTCCGAGYTCTTTAGCGGCGCAACAAAGTGCGGAGCTCGAAGTGGCATTGCCAGCAAACCGTTCAGTCCAACGCGCAAAAAAGTATGCAACAGTGAGCGCAAGTGCACTTACTTATGCACTCATTTCCTCTACGCGGCCGCTGCATAATTTCGGACGCACAAAGGCCTCGCTCCGAAACCGAAACTGCAAGGGATTTAATCATTTGGTCGTTGTGTCGTGGTTTCCTTATTTCCTCAGCGACTTAAATGTTGTTGCTGTTGTTGTTGAGTTTGGCGCGCCACCTTTTGTGCGATCGTCTTATAGACTTCGTAAACGCGAATGCATGAGTATTTCGTTATTTCGTTTCGAGTGTGTTTGAGTGTATATTTAAGACGCTTAACGGTGTCAACAACAGCAATGTAGCAGCGCATGATAAAGTAGCTGACGGTGGTGGCGAATACGAAAATTGCAATTATCATAAATAAGGAGTGTCACGACCGCGACGACGTTGATGGCGCCTTTTTGTTGTGTTCCTTTGTGTTGGACACGTTGAAAATCGATGCAAATGMATTGGTGTTTATGTGGCAGCGAACGCGCAAATATGCAATAACAACAAGTGGGGCATTTCAGGTCAAAGGTAAAGRTTATTGATTCATGGCGGAAAATTTCTGGTGAGACCAAGACTGTACAGGGGCGCATAAAAGGTAAAAACTTTGAATTATGTACAATTTATAAAGTGCCATAATCCAAACCGAAAATTTCCACCGTTTTTAGCCTCCCATAACTCGATTTTTGTTCAGATTAAAAATTGTTAGATCAATTTGCGGAGAAATATATACAGAACATGCTAACAATGGTCGGATATTTTGTCTCCGAGTAAAAACTAGTTGTGCCGATTAACGGTTTTACAGAAACASTGTTGAAAAACTCACAAAATTATTATATATTTTTATAAAAAAAATTAAAATCGCTTTCAGGTATAATAAGCATTATATAACCAAAACCGAAATTTTGTTTGAATACGAGTGGCTTATATTATATCAGTGTGTTTACCTGGAGTAACCCATTTGCATTGAATTTCTGCACGTCAGCTGCAGAAAGCCAGAGCATTGTCTTACAATTGTTGGTATTAAAATGATTAATTTCAGTGAAAGCATTGAATACGAGCGCAATGAAGGAGCCAAGWCGAGTTGCTTGGTGCATGGAGAAATATAGATTGTTGGCTATTTTATAGCAAGCTCGTGTACTTACGATTAATCATACATTTGCAATACAGTCTTGTGCACAAATATAGCAGTGTTTATTTAGATATGGGAAAATATGGCAAATTTTAATGAATTAACTTGTTTATGGGATTGTTGCGAATATGACAATTAAACTAATATTTGGACGAGGAGGCCTTATTCCGGAAATTGATGTCATAGCCGTTTTGTGTACGGCGCGAACAGTTTATCTGACGATTTTTATCATGTTAAAAAAATTGAACAATAAGATTGCTTAAATTTTGTATCTCCAATGAAGACATTTCACAAAAGCCTTTTGGGGATTCTAATTTATTACAAAAATAAATTGTACTTGTATAATAGACATATTGTATATGTAGAGTCGCACAAAGCATTCGTAGAAAACCGTGATTTAAACGAAACTTGCCTCATCGGCTTCGTTCATCCACCACTATTAATGAAAACAGAGCTTTAGCAGATGAACTCAACATCACTTATGGATCCACTTAACATATTTTGGTTAATGTTTTGGGTATGAAAAGCGCCGATGCAGGGCTCTTACCGACAGACCGGAATATTTTGGCAGTCCG